AACCAACCAACCAACCAACCAACCAACCAACCAACCAACCAACCAACAACAACCAACCAACAACAACCAACCAACAACAACCAACCAACAACAACAACCAACAACCACAACAACAACAACAACAAGAACAAAAACAACAAAAACAACAAAAACAACCAACAACCAACAACACCAACAGCAGCAACAGCAACAGCAAGAACAACAACAACAACAACAACAACGCAGCAACGCGGTGTGTTTTTTTGGTGAAGCGCTTGCTTAAAACAAGTTGTGGTGTGTTTTTGGGAATGTAGCGTGCTCCTTGGAAGGCGGTGTGTTTCTTCAATTGCCGCTGATCATGATGACGGCAAATAATATATAAACGCAGCTGTACCACGCATCTGCTGTGAGGTGAATGTTGAAAGGAATGTTCCAGTGGCCCATCTCGGTTTTGAGAGGATCTGTAACACATTATGATTTCCCGAGTTCACCTGAAGAACAGAAAGGCTTAGTGTAAGCTTGTTCCTGTGAACACTTGGACGAACTGCGCCCCCGGTGAACCGCGGGCCACCCTGCTGTCACGTGCACTGGCACAGGAGCGGATCCGTGCTGGCGGCACGTCGGGTTTACCTGAAATGTGGGAGAAACAGGGAAGGGGGGGATGAATGCATGAGAACGCCGCTGGAACACAGGGGTGGCTTTTGACCATCCGACTATCGAGTGTGCAACTCTCAATCAAAAATATACGGTAACCACTCTGATATGAACTCCGGTCAAGTCTTCCCCACTAAGTAAAGCCTTGATCAGTCACTGCAACTCTCCTAAGGCATTCTGCCAACCCCTCCGCAGCCCAGCGCACAGTCTAAGTCGTAGCTGTTGGGCTTGACGGCCACCACCTGCGCCAAGCAAGGGTGGGCAGCGAGTTTGAGGTGGTTGATCGAGAGCGTTGGCTCAAAACCATGGACTTTGGACCAACATGGAGAGCCTGAAGTGCTGTTGAGAAATCGGCCGATGTTTGCAGCTCTGCAGTGTGGCGCAAGACTGCAGGATTATCTAGGGCATACGATTGATGCGTAGTTAGTTGTCACCCATTGTCATCAATCGGAAAAACACCTCATGCATCCTCATGCCAAAGGCTCGCAAGTACTAAGTTCTCTCTCACATCACCTCCAACGTCCGATCGGCTGGCAGAACATGTCGCAGAACCTTGAGATCGATTCTTGCGTAGCCGCGTCGGGCGCGCTTCCTCGCACGAGAGCGCACCTTCGCGGGGATCCAAGCGCCCTGGCTGGCGCTGTAGTACTCAACCACCTCCCCGAGCTTGAAGCCGCCCTCGCCACACCGAACGCATCGCGGCAGCCGATCGAAATGGGTGTTTTCGTGGGACGACACGGGCGGGGGGCGTCGTGTCAATGGGTCGTGCGAGGATGTGTGAGCTAGTCCTTCCACATACGTTGTCCGCACGTGCGAGACACGAGCGTATACCTGGAATCTCCGGCAGTAGCAAATTCTCGCCCCTTAGCCTGGAGTCAACAATTTCAGCAGGGACACCCTTGGAAGATGCAGGTCTACAATCGTCTACGCTAGTGCAGGTTGCTATTGAATTGAGACCTTTCCCAGTGCCTCTAAGAGAACCGAACTGTGGACATGGTGACTGTAGAGCTCCGAAGGTGCTCTGCACCTTCGGCTCGTTGGACCCCCCCTACGGGGGAAGGGCGAACCAGTTCGGTCCTGGCCTCTCGTGCTTCATCTGTCCTGAATCGGGGCGCTTGGAGGTTGCAGCCGATCTAAGCATGGCCGTAATGATGAATATTCGTCATGTGACGAAGGGACCACAACATGTTTGACCATGGAGTACTATGGAGTACTATTGAGCAACTGCGGGTTTCTACACTTTTGGCTTGATTGGCCACCCTGCGGCATCTCCGGGTGTCCGGGCGAGCTCCCCCAGGGCCAGGACCACATGGCTCAGGCCATGATGGATTGAACAAGTCCAAATGGAGCGAGTCCAAATGAAGGATGGATCGATTGCAATAAAATTGAAACGATAAAACTGGTCCCATGTATAATACGTCTATCTGACTTGAGCATTCATAATTTGGAGTCATGTGTCTGGCGGAATTCACCTGGTTGTCCTAACAATAATGGCTGACGAACGGGCATAGCTTAGCTTGCCAGCTGGACTGGTCAGTGCACGTGGGGATCTATGTGGATCTTGAAGCGTGATTGTCTTTCCAATGGTGTTCTGAAGCTTGCAAAAGTACCTTATGAACTGACTACTTTCAAAACTCTGATTGAGTGTTCCCACCACTTGGCAGCACGCAGTAGTTTCCTCAATGATGCCTGAATCTGTTTTCGTTGATTTTCTTCGGTCGGCCTCCCCTGCGGGCGACAAATGCTTGGGCCGTTTTCAAAGCACCTTCTCAATTGGAATGCCAAGACAAACATGTTTGTTTCTTTGTGTTGCCAGCCCATGTTCTCCTTGGAGCAAATTGAAAAACAATATGAACAAGTTAATATCCCGATCATCCCCGATCCAAAATCGCTTAAAGTTTGGCTTCAAGCTGTGTCCTTCTTTATTCCCAGCGATTTCGAAACACTGGGACTTCCACGTCTTTTCACTGAAAACTCTTGAATGATTCGACCGGGCCTCCTTCAAACGCGCCGCTCCTTTTTGGGCCAATCCTCTCAGCTTCCCCCCATCGGCGGCGATCTCCGTCTCGCCTGCCGAGTGGTAGGGCGTAGAGACGGGCGTGGTGAACGGCATGGACTGAAACAACGACTGACTGGCGAAGGGGCTTGTTCCTAGTAGCTTCTTGTTACTACTAGTAAGGCACCTGTTACTACTAGCGATGCACTTGTTTCTACCAGCTTCTTGTTACTACTAGAGACTTTTTCTGGCGCAAAAGTTCGGAGTCAAAGTTCCGAGACTCACAGAAAGGCAAACGCCCAGTCAGGATAACTGAGACCAGTCAGGGGAAATCTGCCCTTCTGGACCAAAAAACAGGTAGACCCCAGGTTCACGCTGCGGAACGAGCCAAAGGGATAAAAAAGGATATATTATATAGAATATTTATATATAAACCAAGACATAGTCATGTTGGATTTTATATACCCCGTAATTCCAAGAACCTGATGGAAACGGTTGACGTTTCTTTGAGTCAACGTGTCGACTTTGACCTGGGGGGCCACCCTGCGAATGTTGCCTCAAGTAGTTTCAAGCATCGTGAAACCACGTGGATAAAGCCAAGCTGTGCATCAGCTTTGATCCCATGTTAATTAAATTACATGCCAAAGGGCAGCATGTGCACCGTGCTAGCGAAATGAGTGGTCAAAGGCTTGTGATGGTCATGGGGCGACGCGAGCCTTCAGAGCACTGAAGAGTGGACAAATGTTGATGAGATGCAGGCAACACGGAGCCAACGTGGTGTGCTGCTGGGAGTGCGTGGCGGTCTTCGTGGCGGTCTTCAGCATGTTCGAGGTGCTCGCGCAAAACTTGTGCGATCTCCTGTGACTGGACCAAATCGATGGGACGATGACCCCGAGAATTGCGCACCTCCGCGTCTGCTCGAGCATCCAGCAAGAAGTTCACCAGCTGCTGGCAGTCAAACAGGCACGCAAAGCCCAAGGGAGTTGTGCTCTGCTCAGCCATGGCCATCATCAGGACTGAACCTGGGATAGACGGGGATAGATTTCCTGGGAATGAGACTATAATTATATATGTTGCAATGGTCTGTGTACGTGACCCCAAAAGGAACTTCCGCTACTACTCCAGATTGCACTTTAAACGAACATCACTTTCATTGAAGACTTATGTGAACCTCCAAAAACACACATGAAATCTGCTTTTTCTAAAACAAATACGATTGTTCGTTTTTAAATTTGCTGCCAAACTTCCAACACAAACACATTCACATGGCAAACGGCGAGCAAATAGAATCTGTCTTCAAAACAAACATCCAGTTGCGAATCTGGGTCCCATAATCATGTTCAGGGCCAAAACTGCGCCAATGCACCTGGTCTTATTCGCAAGTGGTCTACATACGGACTAATTAATTGCCAGCACCATTCAAAGCATTTCAAAGAGTGGTTTATAACCCCTGACTGTGCACATTCCATCCAACAATCACCCTTTGGGTGGTGCTGGTGTTTTCTCTTTGTACTAAGTGTTTCCATTTGTTTCCTGTGTCCTTAATCTCGCTTTGTCGGACAAATGAGGGAGATGATAAGCCAGGATGAAGAACAGCACAGAAACACTCCAGAGAGGGCACCTGCACCACAAGGGAGACTATTCCAACATCCTAAACTCTGGACTCCTTCAAAGAAGGGCTTATGAACAAAATCAAATCAATCAATCGCGCATTGGTATAGACATGGCCATGGCCAACTATTTTGGTTTGCAACATAACGGAACTTCGCAATCTGGGCACGTGGAGTCGCAATCTGCAAATACGCCCTGCTCAAGAGCTCCAGTGCGCGGAAGATCCCACCACAACGCACTTGGGCATTGAGATCGGCGGTCGCTGCCACCAAGAGCTGCGCGATTGGCAAAGCGTGGGGGTTCGAATTGGCGGTGATTGCAAGGAAACTCAAGGGAGACATGCCAAGCCCACTAGATCGCCCTGGGGCATTTGGACTGGCACGAGACTGTAAGAGCTTGGCCTCATTAGTAGGTCTGAGAATCAAAGTCCATGAAACAAAGCCCTGGAAATGATTCTTTCTACATAAACTACACTTGGAAGTGGAAAGCAAATGTTGAAGCATTGTGCTTGGCTTTCCGAGAGGCAATGACCTCTGGAGGGCTCTCGCCACTTGCCAAAGCCAGAACTGGAACATGAAGTGGGGCATAGTGTCCATTGACGTCCGCCCTGTATTCAAGCAGAGTCTGGACATCCCTGGCAGTGCGACAACATGCCAAAGGGGGAACTCCGATAGCAGGAAGGTTGGGATCCGCTTGGGCTTCCATAAGGATTTCAATCACTTTGGGAGAACGCCACCCTTGCATCAAAGCCAAATGTAATGGTGTTAGGTTTCCGTCAATGCCCACTGCTGGCATCGCAGGCGATCGCTTCTCCATGGAGCAGCGAGCCTCCAAGAGCGATTTCAGCAACTCGACATCCCCTGCAAGAGCTGCAATAATCACAGGACCAAATTTGGATCTTTGACTCCTCTCCAGTGATCCATAGCAAAAGTCGTCAAGAAATTTGCTCATGGTTCTTCGCACAGGACGTAGTCCGGTCATGACTTCTCGCCGAGCAAGAAAGTAGCGGAACAGATCCATACGCCTTTCACCTTCAAGGAAGCACAGTTGATGGGAGATTGCTTGCTCGAAGATGCCTTTCACCACCGGTCTGTCACCAGGATATGAAAATTCACCTTCATGAGGAAGCCAGTCAACCCAGTTCGCGGGTCTTGCATAATGAGCGAGATCAGAAGCCGACACGATGACGATGGGCATGTCCTCCAGCTTATAGTCAATTAGAATCAGAAATCGAAAGGTGGATCCAATACAAACTGCCATCGTAAATCTGACAAAACATGCCAATCATAAGTAATTAATGATGCAGTTATATAATATATAATTCAGAAGCCGGATATAAAAAAGAACAACGTGTCTCCTTAGTCAATGATCCAGTTTCTGAGTGCCTTTATCTTGCATTAGTAGTCCGAAAACATCGGTGCACAGTGCACGTTCGCCAAGCCACAGAACAACCAAGTGTATATCCCTAGGGATCCAAGTACCTTCTCAGAAGGTACGACTGGACCCTCCAAACCCACATAACAGTCTCTCCAATCACCGTACCTTAGAAGGTACGACTGGATCCCTAGTCCGTTGTGGCAAAGTCGGTCCGCCAGGTCATCGCTGGCAAACGCATCTGACAATCATTCATCGCTTTCCACCAACAAAAGACAAACATTAGAACACCCCTCCGCCCCAGGGTTTCACAATGATTTGGTTTAAAACTAATTTTGTGCGTACTTGATCAATCCGTGTCCTGGTTTCCCAACATCATCTTGCAAAACATCTCAGTTCTGCACCATCCTCGCGTGATCCAGCTGAGATAGTCGCAAATTTGCCCAGTGTCAAGGTGCCGCAGCGGAGGCACCAACGCAACAAAGACTTGGCTCGCCTGAACGAACGAGGGAAGGGAGAGGATGAATTCCTCCTGTTCCTGGGATTTGCTGAGTGTCGAAACCGGAGACTCAAACATCTTGCATAGACAACAACAAACGAGGAACATCATCAGATTCCTCAGCAATAAAGACAAGGAATCTCCCAAAGCATCCAAGAAGGGGCAAAACTCTCAACAACCATCAACCAGCTTCTTCAAAGTGACCTCTTGAAGGTTCCTAAGTGACCCTTAGGAGGCTTAAGTGACCTCAAACCAGGTTATCAAAAGGTCACTTTGAAGAACCATCAACAACATGTTCATCTTCCCAGGATTCCGACACTCGCTTGGGTGAAGCTGGGCTCCGGTAAACGAAGGTCCTGGAGGATCGCTCGCGCTTGAGCTGGCAAATCTCGTCCTCCTCATCGTCCTCGTTCCGGAAGGTCTCGACTTGAGGAATGCTGGCCCAATCAATCCACAAGACGGCCTTTCGGACTTTGTCTCGCTGCGACTTGGACAGCTTCTTCATCTCCCCCAAGAACTGCGAAGCTGCATCGTTGGTGATCGAAAGTTGGTGGTCGCAAATGTGCACGAGGCATTGCTGCAAAACCCTCAGCTGATGTCCGGCTGGATCTGGATGGGTCGTGGAGATCCATTGGTGAGACACAAAGATGCAGTAGTCAGTCAGCTCGCGTCGACGCAGCAAACCCCTTTCCAGCAACTCCTCATGTTTCGGCATTGGAAGCTCCATCTTAATGAAGTCTGAAACCTTCAACACCCACATAGCCATGAAGGGTTCAATCTCTTGATGAACTACATTTGACTGGCAGCCGCCCATGATCAGGCAGCTGCGAAAAAAAAAAAAAAAAAACAAGGCCTCTTGCAGGCCTGACGAAAATCAAGGTGAAACAGATTGAAGCATCCTGCTGCTTTAAAACCTTTGATCCGAACATGGGCATTCCCACATACAACAAGCGACCGATCGACTGATCAGCGACAGCCAAGGGTTTGGTGCGGCCTCCAGTCCCCGACCCAATGCCTCCAGTCTCTCACCCGGACCTTCTTGAAACGCAGCCGGTCAGCATGACCCGTTGCCGTTGCCGTTACCTGTGTTGCGAGCAAAGAAGTGGACCGCACCGGAAAGGGGCCAACACAAGAGAGAGCCTTTCGCAAATTGGCCATCCAAATCCTTAGATTGTTTTCCTTTCTTATAGTGATTTATAGTGCCGTCCAGGTCTGCAGTACAATGAAGTCCTTGACGTGCATAGATAGGCTGGACGGCCACTAGTGATGTTCATCGATAATGTTGGATCCTGATTCGTAAAAGGGATTGAGCCCCCCCAACAAATGGAAGTTTCTCTAAGTACAATAAACCACCACCAAAACAAATCTAGGCCCAGGCTCCTCGGAGGATTCCTTTTTGTAATTGAATGTGGTTGTAGTATTAGGTTCCTTTCTCTGGTTCTTTGTAATTCGATATTCTCAGCAAGCCTTCTCCTATGCAGCCTCAGATCTTCAGCACATTCTCAGCAATATTTTTCCTCTGCAGCCTGAGATCTTCAGCTCAAGAAGCCTGCAGCACCCAAGCCCTCAGCTCAAGCTTGGAGCCACGGCAACCAGCTCAGATGACATTCAGGTTGCTGATCTCTTTGGCCCTCAGGTGGATCCTGTTACCTGGTGCTGCTTCATAAATTGGTTTGGTTTCAAGTTGTTGCTTGATTTAGCTTCTCAGGTGGGTGCCAGTAGCCAAGACTCTAAGGACCATTTCATCAACTACAGGAGGGCCTTAGATGAGCCTGAAGGTGTTTCTTTGTTTGTTAGTGTTTTGTTGTGGTGCTGCTGGCTGCTTGCCTGGGAAGGGAGCGGGAGTGCAGGGACAGAGTTCAGAAGGAATAACCCTAATTATGTGTCAAACACACATTTTTGGAAAATCTAGCATTATAGAGGACCCTACTACTAATCAGGAATTAGGATCCAACAATCTTCATGGTTTCACGCAGTTGCAGGCCGGGTGCATGCTGAGTACAACATATCCGCACCTTGTGCTGCTACACCTACAGGCTCGATTGTGTCAGGCTCGATGGAGCCAAAAAGCAGGTGCAAAAAACAACACAACAAAGAAGGAGCTGACCTGCAGGGATGCACAGGCTTGCACAAGCAGAACGAACTGCAAGCCAACTGCACAAGCAGAACGAACTGCGCCAGCGAGACGTTTGAGAAAACAACAGTCTCAGTGATTAGCAGTGACAGCAGTGATACAGTGGCGGTGGTGGGTGCAAGTGGGGTGGCCGCGCAAAAAGCAACCCTCTCATGCTCATGTGGTTCAACGTACATATTACTTCAAACACGGTACACATGAATGTATATTAGTATAGAAATCAACCTTGAGAAAAAAGCCTAGGAATCTCAACAACACGTGTGCCGCTACGAGCAAACTAGGCATGTTCGCACAATACGGCAAACGGTGCACCGTTCCATGTAGCCTCGTTCAGTGTTTGACGACTGGATGAGGTCCACTCCACTGGCGATCATCTAAGCTACAGGATTCCTACTTCAACCACCTAGCTTTACAAAAACAATCCCACAACCCAAGGACTTCCAAGGCACATGGGGAACACATGACAAAACAAAGACACATACCGAATCAAAACGTGACCATCGTCCTTCTTTGATCACAATCCAGTGACATCCAACTGGCGCTTTATCTAGCGAACCACCGCACCAACGACTCTCGGCCCACAACCGGGTCCTCAGCAGCACATCAGTTTCGCTCAGCAAGGCAGCTGTTTTGTTGTGAGAGGGCTCTGTAGTAGTACGGCCAGGAGCCCCTAGTAGCCCCCCTTGACTCAGTGTCCTGGCAAAAGGGTAACCTGTTTGCACCCGTTGTGAGTAGGGAACCGAGCACCCCCATTCAAGCTGAAGGTCAACGAGTCAAGCAAACACATTGGGTTGGGTAGACGAGATCTCGGTGCAAGCTGTACGCCTTGAGTCTCTGGACTTCCGAAAGCTACAAATTCGCTGCGCACCGTGAAGACATGGATCAACAAATCGATACCCTGACACAGTCAACAAAGCCGATCCACAGCCACATGGAACTGTCAAACAGGCCCCGGGATGACTTTTGCTGGAAGACCCTACGAACAGGGGGTGTTCCACCTCAGGGAGTATAGTATAGCACAGCTTTTGCAGGGCCCGGGACCCCGGCCCCCGCAACCCCGCTGGAGGCCATGGAAACACCATTCGCCTACGAGGACCTCTCTTGAAGTCGATAACTCCATCATTGGCAACATCGAAATGACACTCCCTAAAATATTCATGAAGTGCATGGTCCCGATTTCGGATGACCATGCGACATGGTGATTCCTTTTGTTTTCCTACAGGTTGTGTTGATCCACGTAATTACCCATGATGATTACTGCTTGGTGAATGATGTCACCCCAAGAAACAACTAAATAACTAAAAGTAAAAACATGTTCAATTTAGATAAACATGTGTGCATAGCTCCAAACCCAACCATTTCAATGAACAAAAACAGCAAATGCCCCAACTCTTCCAAACCACCACCCGCTGCAGATTCCAGGTCCAGGTCGGCAAATCAACAAAAATCTGATCAAAGATCGATGCTCCATGTTGACTCCTTGAGTCTCCCTGGAAAATAAAGGTTAACGCTAGTGTTAACCTGTTCTTGTTTACTGGAGTGTCTCCACTCCCCAAAAAGGTTTAAAGCTTATCCACTGACTGGTAGTCTTGGTATCGCTCTCACCCGCAGTCCAGATCGACCACCAAAGGATCAGGAGGAAAGCAAACATTGCTAAGAGGGAGCACAGCAAAGTGCCTCTCACAATCAGAAAAGGCCTGGTTGTCTAAGAGGGCAGGATTATATATATAATATATATATATATAGAATCCCTTACACAACCCCTAGTCTACCCACTGCCCACTTATAACTATTTTTCCTTTGCCACATCAATCGGACGCAGAGATTCATTTCGAATCTTGGCTGTGCCAATCCGCATCTGGTCACAGTTCAAACCCCACTTGCTCAGGTTTTGCGCAACAACTATCGCAAGGCTATTCCTGGGCCAATCTTGGAATGTTCTAACCTGGGCAAGTAGGAAGCTTGTGCTATTGTTGTGCGGCAGCCCCGCGGATGAGCTTCAATGTCATCCGGGAGCAATCCCTTTGATATTTGTTGTATGTTCCACCAACTAATGGTCGCGGCGTTGCGGTTCAACGGTCATCACAGGCTTGGTGTAGTTTTTTGTAGTCCTCTACGGCTTGCAGCTCACCCTGTGACCAACAGCTTAAACAATCGCAATGAAACCAGTGATGGTACTCAATCAAGCGGTCAGCCTATCCTTTTGTGCATTGGGATTTGAGATGCTACTCAACTGATGATTCCTTATGCTTCGGCTACTCCAAAGCATCGAACGGTTGGAAGGCCATGTTTTCACCCACACATCACCAAAAGGGCCGCTCTTCTTTTCGATTTGGACGGTGGACTCCTCAGGTCCCCCACCCGTCGACAAACAGAGTCCCGCGTCTGCATGTCAGCACCTTTGAAGGTACCTGGGGGTTACACAAACATGCACGTATAATGTATAGTTGTGGCATATCATGTGTGTGCATGTGTATATATGTGTAAGTAAATACATGATATGTTTGTGTTATGTGGCTATATATAATATCATATCTGTGTGCTCCACACCTGTACACACACGTCTGGAACCCATCTGACACCTGTATAGATGGAACAAAGCCACAATCTGGAGCAAGGCCTTGGTCATCGTTGGTCACTGAGAATTCATTCTGAGTGTACATTCAAACACACTGCACAATTGAACAAACATTATGTCGGAAACCTCTAAATGCAGTGTGTTTGCCTTTGACGTTTAATTACCGCAGTTACTTCTCAAATCTAGAATGCCCCCCAACACTTCCGAGTTGTTGCCACCTTCATTGGGGAAAGGGAAGACCCTTCTATTTAGAGTCAATCTCTTTCTCATTTTTCGAAGTGGTTCCTAGGGAACCGAAGTCGCTGGCTTCCATCTTTGGCGGTCGCCCGATTTGGGGAAAAGTCACTCGACCAAGTGTCTTTTGTTTTTTCCGAGGCTCAAGCGGAGGGCTGCTAATTTTGATAGGGATAACTCCAGGGATAACAAATATTATGTCGTTGCAGAATCACAAGTAAGCCCATGCCTGTCGATTCATTCACACACAGGATGAGGCCAATTCTTTCGGTGGTAAAATCCTATCAGTTCAACTCCATGACACCAAAGGTACCGGCGGAAGAATTGCCAGGTTCGGCAACATGACATGTCAAGACCGTTTCAAACATCACAAAGTGGTCCAGTAAGGCTGCCCCTCATCACTCATGATACTCTACATACAGTATGATTCGTGACAAGCACGCCTTGTGGTTGGTGCTCCTCTGAGCAGCACACGCATGCAAAACCTACCATTTGGCATACTGTATCTGTTTTGCCGATAACCCTCATACCGTTGCAAAAACAACTTGCAGTGTAGGCCGGGTCAACACCGCAGCGGAGGGTTTTGTTGCATAGGTATCAAATAGTGTAGGGCTTCTGTGATGGACACTGGCAACATCTTTGCGTTGTCAGTACCTGAATCCACAGATATCCACAGTGCTTGCTCCAGTAGCAACAGTGATGAGTAGCGGACAATCACGTGCGTTTCTAAACACTCCATCTCACTTATATGAATACCGGCCTGTTGTCTATTCAATAAATTGCAAAGCCTTCGCACATTACGGTACTGGCGAGAGGACTCTATGTTAAAACCACAACTGCTCGGGTGGCAGTTCTGCAGTTTCTTTTTTGGGTGGTGACTGGCGAAAACTTCTCGAGCCAGCTGAAAGCTGAACATCCTGAGCGCACTCCAATTTCGACAAGGCGGCTGACTAAGGACTAAGGTTATTATTGGTCAGTCATTAGAATTTTGTTACAGTAGAAGGAACTGACCAACTTCTTGCAAAGTTCGGCCACCTCGAGAACTGGGCAAACTTGACAAACGGTCGCAAGTGTGTTCTTGGACTGATAAGAATGGACCTCGCAATGGTTGGTATGAGGACTTGGGATGCGCATTCCCTAGACGCTGTCATGCCGCAAGTGATGTCACGAGCCAAGTCTGTTCGCGAATGCCAAATCACCCCCCAAAGAGGCGCGAAAGAAACATGACTTCCACGATTGCTCCAGGTGAGCACTTTACCATGAAGAGATCATTCCTCGAGGAAAACTGCAGGAAAATAGGAATCACCTAAGGACAAATCGCCATTGATGCACATGAATGTCAAGTAATTATGTATTGTCAAGAGTCAAGTGTTCGAAATATTTCGAAAGAACATCGGCCATGTCAACTCGCAGAAAAACGATTCTTTGACCCCCTTGGGAAAAACATACATGACATAAACAAATTACACCCTGTACGATCCAGCGCCATGATTGCAGGGAAATCTGGAATCTATCTTTGTGGGGCTTCCAGTGTGGGAGAAGAACAGCACAGTCTCACGACATGGCGACTATGTCAATCAGTCGTCCATCCGAACGAAGCAACATGAAGCAACCCTATCCTCGTCTGGCTGTCGGTTCGTCGGCGTCCCGAAAAGGTTCGAACTCCGTTTCCACTCAACCTGGACGCCACTGGTTTGTGCTCACCTGGACGCCGTCTAAACGGCAGTCAAATATCTAACCATTCTCCGTCTCTCTGGACGTTTTTCAGTCTTTGCTCACCGAAAGCATGGCCACTCGAGTTGTATCACTCGAAACTCGTCAGCTGTGTTGGTGTTTCCTCATGTGACTCTTCTCTTAGTGGGCATGACGACTTGATTGGATGTCACTGTCAGTCTCTATGGTTTTGTTGTGTTTCTTGTTTCTTGATTACTCTTGATTGCTATTATAGGCTTTTTTGGCCATTTTCTCGTGACGACCCTTTTCTCGTGGCGCGGCTGGGCGCACTCCGTCTCACTGCTGGGCTTACGGCGCTTGGCGCTCAAGGCGGCCTCGACCATCGCGGCTGACACTGGAAGATTCATGAATCACATTTTACGTCCAGCATACAGACCCCTCAGAATAGATAGAAAGTATTGGAATCACCCAAATCATTTTAATACCCCCAAATAGATAGAAATGTAGAATCACCTTTCAGAAAGTATTGGAATCCGATTCTATGTCTATCTATTGGGGGGGCCACTATACTTCAGATCGCGCAGGTTTCTCCCTCCCGTCCTGCCCACGACCTCGGAAGCGTCGAAAGAAACAAAAATAACGTATTCGACCTCAGCGTGTCACGGTATGTCACGGTGCAAGTGGTTGTTCATTCAAAAGTAGATCGCCAACGAGCAACAACCAATGGTCTTTTGGAGTATTTTTGTTGGAGGGCCGCACTGTGGCACTGAAAACAACGAAGGTCAAGTTTCTTGAAACGTTTCTAAGAACAGGAAACCGGCTTTGTCAAAGAGTCCAATTCACGCAAATCATGCCTTTTTTGCAGCGTCGGTGCTTGAGGATGTGCCTTCGTTGAGACATCTTCGGAAAATCCCTCAAAAGTTCTGCCCCTTCTTCGCGCCGCCAAAACTGTCCTAACCTATCACCTAACCTACTGTGGCCGCTTGCCGCGCGCTTCTTGAATTAAAACTTCGGGCTATTCCAACACCCAAGTGTAGGATATTCAACACTTCATGGAATGATTCACGCAGTGTGCTTGGCGATGTTGTTCTTCCTCATTACCATTACAGGCTAACCAATACTAACACATATATATATATATTAATATATATATATATATTAACAATTAATTAACCAATTGCAGGTCAATGATCCGACACTCAATCCTTGTCATGTGCAAAGGGTGGTTCGGCGCAATTAACATCCGTGCCGCCTGTGGACTTCCAAAGCCCATTAGATTAGAGTGATTAGGGAACTCCCTCCCACTCCCCGACTGCTTCTGCCCGAAAATGCATTATGACCACGCCAAGGAGTTCCTGCAAACCAACCCACGCATGGATGGCAGGACAGCCCCGATGTCCAAAACTGTCCTAAAGCTACTGTCAGCGGTAAATCAGCACCGCAAACCCACGTGGCCGACAAAGACTTGTGCCCCTGGCCACCAAAAAATGAGAGATTTAAGACACACCCACCATCTCAAGAACACCTGCAGCATATTTGCCAGCACATCAAAAATACACACACGCAAATTTGGAACAAATGTAGCAAATGCGTGTTTCATGCCAGCTTCATATGCTATATGCTGCAAGCTGTCCAAAGTGAGTTTGCAACCGTGCTTCTTCGCGCGGGCAACTCGGAGAGAAAAAACATATTCATGGCTGCTGGCGTTGATTGCCGTTTAAACATGGAGGGGAACTTCAGGCATGCTGGTGCCACTGTCTCTTGTTGTATGGGATTTTGATAATCACATGCATGTAGTTATGCGTTTTGTGTTCTTTCATCTGGTAGTTTTAGCATTATTTCAGTCGAAAAGTAGTGTAGGATCCCTCCATCTGGCTGGTCAAACTGCTCTAACTTTCGAGCTGAGTCTGACTTTTGCGAGGTCCGTTGCTGCACTGTAGTTCGACCAACCATCTTGGATGGATATCAGCCAGCCCGGCCCCCCTCCCAACTTCGCTCGGAGCTGCGGTATCCCAAAGAACCTGAGCACACATCGGGCAAATAAGGCGCCAGTCCTAGCGTCCTAGCAGCTGTATCACCGATTCCTCTGGAGAAAAAGACAGGATAGAAAGGTATGCCTTTACGCAAGTTCCACCAACACCCTACATTCCGGTCGTCTCGCGTCCAAAAAGAAGTGCTGCTGCTAAACATGTACCCTCCCCGCCTTTGAAGGCCTAACTGGTTGATGTGCCGTTGGCTCCCAGATTCGGTGCCCATGCATGCTGGGTCGAACCACATGACGCAACTGGCACAGGTTGTGCTCTGCAGTTGTGTGGCTTTCTCCTCTCTGGGGCAAGCACTGAGCACAGGGCTCCGGAAGAATCGTTCGCAGGGTTCACATCCCTCTATCTAATTGATGGCAACCATCCCAACCCCAAACGAATGGATAAGGCTTAGAAGGGCTTGTGTGCTTGATCATACATCTTGAATCTTGCCTATCTCAACCCCTCTCAGCCGGAAACGAGCCCCCCCAATCCATCCGCTCCAAGGCACCACCTTTCACGAAGGATCCGCTGGTGGTGGATCCGATCCTCAGCGGTTCGTCGTGGATCCGATCATCATGAAGGCCTGGTTCACGCCGATGTAGGGCATCACCAAGGTCAAGAAGGGCATCAACACGAACCATGCTGGCCCCAACCACTTCATTACGCCGGTGACCTGGTCAGTCAGGCAATGATTGGGAGATGTGTCCCTTTTGTCCGTGTTGGCCTTATTCAGCGTTCCTACGTTTGTTTTCGGAATTTGGCATCACAAAAACAATGAACATAGCTCTTTGAGCACCGGGGCAGGTGACATCTCTCACTTGGGAGAAGGTCGCCATGCTTCATGCATAGGATTGGAAGGTTTACACAGATTACACCGCTTGTCACTCAAACAAAACTCAGTCACTAGACCCACGGGCCCCATGGGCCATTTCTCAACAACCCGACATCTCAGGGCAAAACATAGAGCAGTTTATCAACTATATATCAATTGATTTTAATTAGACCCACAAAGTGAGTGCTCGCACTCACTTCTTACCCAACTTAAGAGTCAATTAAAATTAGTACAGCTAGCTAGTGGCTAGCAGTGCAAATGATTAGAGCCTTAATTTTGGGGCGCCCAACAAGAACGCCCACCAGTCGTCGAACGCTGAGTGGCCGTCTGGTTCAAGATCAGCTTGCCGATCATCACCTCCCACCAGCCGCGTGTCACCTCAGAGCCGAACCCAATGGTTCCAGGTACGGACGAAATGGGTCAACATGGGTCAACTAAAATGGGTCCCTGATGGTCCCTGTACGGTTTTTTTATGCGGCAAGTTAGGGGTCAGCGGATTTGCAAGGATGTGGAGATTCTTCCAGGGGCACCTATACACGTATAGAGATGGTAGTAGGGATAGATAATAGAAATATATTAGTAGATGGTATAATAGGGGTCAACACTCAAACTTTTGATGGTGTACATTCTACAGTATATAATTGCATTTCACTTCGGAATGGACAGCTCACGGCTAGCGGCTAGGGCAGGGCAAGCGAGCCGAGATGTTTGTTGTTCCGTTGAGCCATTACGTGTTGGTAACTTTCTATATCTTTCTATATAATCTCTCTTTATACGCATTCGATATGCTTTCTATATTCGTGAAGTTGAACAAACCCTCTCGCCGAGGGTTGAAGTTGAACTGTAGACGAACGCCCACACTCCGACGACGAACTCCGGTCGCGTGCCAAATCGGACGAGGCACAATGGCCTGGCTCCAAGTGAGCTGGGCCGCCTTCTCTTTGGTCATCTTGGTACGGCCAACCCACAAGTAAGTGCATGGATGCAGCACATCCTCGGAGTTCGGAGGTTTTGGATCCGGGCGGAGGTGGTTTTGGATCTTCTGAGATGTCACACGGTGGACAAACACAAAATCCATCAAACACAGACTTTATCGAAATCTATGTGGGGTGCCCCACTCTCCCCACTCGTCACTTGAAGCGGAAGAATCGGCCAGCGAATGCTCCTCCTGGAGTCTCCGTCGTGCATACTCAGGCTGCCCAGGCTGACAACGAGTCCACTGCCCAGATGTTCTAATACGGTTCATTGTACATCCATGTGCTGGATAGATCCTGTTCACATCCAGAAGTACTTCTGGAGACTTCGAAAAAACGAGTCCGCGGATCCAGTCTCGGGGATCAAACCACGAGTAATTACCCGTGAGCCCGGCCCAGTCCCAGTCCGAGCATCGAGAGCGATCAACGTCACGATGATCACCGCAGATAAAACACCTGGACGTTCTGGAGCAAATCGGGCCACAAAGAAGTTCAGCCCATCCTTGAATTGGGACCTATATATTTATACTATCGCGCCGTGAGGACCGGTCGCTTGACTACATCAACCACGAGAACTAAATGGTCAAACCTAAAAGCCTATTGCACGTTCCTCGACACCCACGTTAATCAACTCCTCTCATTGGTGCGTAGCACTGTAGTAAGGTCAAAAAAAAGCAACGATAGCACTCTGAATGCCGTGATTGCTTCGCCAGGCGCAGCTCTCGGCAAACGAGGCAGCCGCCTGTGTGTTTTCGCCCTTCGATGCTGTAGTAGATCCAGGCGCCAATGGCACCCAAAATGAGGAACAAAGTCCAATACCTGGGCAAGACCAGCTTTGCCAGTGGGAAGCTGCCAGGAACAAAGGCGGGCGCTGCATGCTTGTTACATAGTCTTCCCAGGTCTTCCAAGAGTATGTCTCAAAAAGGAATTCCCTTACGACTGGCTTTTCCTCTTATTCTCCTACTGCTTGTGGGAGGCTCTTCCTAAAACCCACCGCATCCGAGACACTTAACAAGATTCGTGGACATGACGCCGCGGTCACCGCCGACCCAAAAGCTGATGTCCTCGCCGTACATCTGATAGCGCATATAATCCTGGATGCCTGGACGGCGGCGACGGTCCGTAGGAGGGAGACAGGGAACCTGATTCGCTTCATCACCTGTTCTTTTCACTCTCCTCTTTTATACGGTCTTTTCCAGTCGATTGGGTGGGACTTGGTCAATCAATAAGTGGGCCTTGAAGCTAGATTTGTTGGTTTTCGACGTGCCCATCGTTGACTATGTACGCTTGGGCCGCCATGCATGGATACTATGCCTGCACAGCTGTTTTCACTCGACCATGTTCGGCCCAAAAAAGTGCAAAGGCTCCAAACTGCACACCAGCGGGCAAACCAAATTGTAAAATGTTTGGTCTGATTCAGTATCCTCCACACTTCTTGCACATCCCATTTGAATCCACCTTCGAGCACCGTACTCTCCCTCAACCTCATGCTGCGGCGTCATGTCCGCCCCTTCACCTTCGGAGTTAGCCAAACTCTTCCCCTGCCTTTAATGATGGAATACAAGAGCAAAGGAGCAGAGATGTAGAAGAGCTGTGTGGATCGCCACAGGTTATCCATCGACAAGCCGATCACTTCATTGGCCTTGCCAAAGCCACGTGCACTCCAGTGCGCTCGGCCAGGTGGATGAAAAGAACAAAAACTGTGGGAGGCAGCCGGGCGCAAGTGGATTTCCCTGCTGTTGGAGGAAATCCTGATTCCAAAATTGCGGTCCGCTTTGGCAGTTCGCCCCAAATAAGTCCTTCTCCATCCAACTTTCCCAGGAAAAAAAGGAAACCTACAGGATCCACAGACCCATCTCAGATTCTCTCGCCTCTCGTCTTCAGCAGCTTCGAGAAAAACACACACTCGACGACACCCGACCGCGACCGACGCGATTCGCTCGACCGACGACGCCTCCATTGACGTGGACAGCGTGTAGCGCATGGAGGCGGCGATGACCATGCCCCAGCTGAGAAGCTGCACAGCCAGCATAAAGGAGAACATACCTGACCATCGCAGGGATGTAGAAGCGTTCTTGTGTGTGTGTGTGTTTTTTTTTGGCTGCGGGGGGGGGGGGAACGGCCAGCAGGTACCATAACCATAACTGTAACATTTGTTTGCACTTACTGTATATAGCTGTGCTTCTTTGGTTTAAAGTTGTTTGCTTGGTGATTGGTTTTCTGCACTTCTGGTGAAGGGAGGAGTTCACCTCTTTCCCTGCTTCCCTGTCTGTCTTGAATGCTTTTCGTGCGCCATACCACCTGCATTGCATCATCTGCACAAAAACCGCCCGGAGTGCAGATATTTTTCATGGAGGTCACTTGCTCCGCTATGCACACCCTCGTGATACTTGCGATTTCTAGACCTGCACACACATTCAAGTTCACATCCTGAAAGTAGACACGTCTCCGTCTTTTAATAGACAGTGACAGGAACATTCATTCCTTTTGACTTCGGTGGTGCCCAATATAACCGCGCTAAACTCCAGGGGCGCCCGTCCGCACGCGCCCAACAAACGGCGCATTTGTGTTGCCTGTGGAGGAGAAGTGATATGTCCGCTTAGCAAAGATGCTGTAGTAGTTGAAGCCGATCCTGGGATGGGTGATGATTGGTGGAGTGGGTCTCATCCTGGATTAGGTGGGGTTGAAGGGAACATCACCGCACTTCATGTGTCAAGTAAAGCCCCACATGGCCATATGTGCAATGTTTGGTTTGTTGGGGGCACCTTCAACCAAACATTAAAGCTATGGAATGCAACCTCTCCAAGAACCCTCTGCAGTCAAAGGAAATCCGTCAAACCTGTTGGGCCGCCGGCTCGGCGGAAAAGCCCAACTTCAGGTAGTCGCCCATAGCAATCTGAGAGTTCCACAGCTTCTGCAAGCTCTATTTTTCTGTTGGGAGGTGGCCCACTGTCAATGCCATCACCCCAAAAACCTGGCACGGCAGGTGCCAAAGGTCAAACACTACGCCGACTGGAGTGTGCCAAAGCGACAGCAAGCACCACCCGGCCAAACTTCCACTCCTAGCATCCAAAAGAAGGCGGTCCAGAACCACAAGAAGTACGTCAAGTTGTCCATTGATATCCTCAGTGGTCCAAATCAAGCACCTGATCAGTCATCACATGTCTTCATGACAGATGAAAAGCCAACGGCGACTAATCGGAGAACGTCTTCGACCAAACTGGCAGCCCGAACTTCCTCAGAGAGAAGGATTTCGTCCGTGCGAATCGTGCGAATCTCTGCCACTCTTTGGATATCATTGGATATCCTATTTTCAAAGGGAGCTATGAGATCTACCTTGCTTAGACACCTGACCGTTTGCACCGGGACTTTATGTAGAACATCTTGAGATCCATGAACATCGGGTCGCAAAGCTCCCACCGTCTGGCACCGTTGGTGCGCTGTCACTGTCACCGGACCACCGTTTGTGACGGACCCCTAAACCACACGCCATGGCTCAAGAGCCGGCCCCACCATCTCATCTCGTCAGGCCATAGTACTGGAAGCTTCAATCCACACACCTGGCTGAAGATTGAAGGAGGGCTGAAGGCTTAAGGCGCTTGAAGAAGGCTGGAAGTCTGGAAGCATTAAAAAAAACAAACGCATTCAGGGAGGAAAGAAAGACCAACATCCCGCCATCCCGAAAGAGGAAGTCGATTGGCAAAAAGAACATGAACATCATATTGATTAATCTGGGCAATATATATAAAATAATTCCTGGGTCGTCGGTTAATTTCG